TTATGAAGGGACTGTCAGGGGAGGAGGGTGGCTGGTTGATTTTTATTTTATTTATTTATTTTATTTTGATCCCCCCTATGTTAATCACTTATTGATGCTGTTTTTGAAGTATGAATAAGTCAATAAGTAATTTATTCCATTGAAATATCATTGATGTATTATAAAAAAGTGATTTATCTTTTTATAAATGACAAAAGGCACATCTGCCTCATTTTCGCTGTGGTATCGTGATACTACTCAGAACCATAATATTTTCATTGGTATTGTACAGTGGGTCCTAATTTTGGTACCGTGACAACACTAATCTGGAGGGGGTTCATCTGCAAAAACTAATGAAAAACTAAACAACGATATTCGGTATTCGGTATTCGGCCAAGCGCTTAATATTATTCGGCTTCGGCTTCGGCCGCAAATTTTCATTTCGGTGCATCCCTAGAAATGTTATTTGGCGATTTGAAAATTTGGGCTTTTTTTTGTACGGTTGGGTCATTTCCCCAAATTGTTAGTTACACTGTGTTCCGCTGAATCGGTTCCTCCTCCTTATCTAGTTGGTATTATTGAGATTGGCTCATCAAGCAGTTACTGATATGACAGACAAAACCAAATCACAATAAAGGTCATTCTAAACTAAGCCCTTTACAAAGCTTACATCTGAAATTCAGACTTGTTTTTATGTTGATTTTGTTGTGTAAAAGACTTGGTGAAGACCAACTTTCATTATTGCAACCATGGATTAAAGTTTACTCATAAAACAGAAGACCAGAAGTGCGTCACAGGACTCGTATATAGCCACAGAGCTACGTATATATGGGCGGGTGTGAGGTTTTAATTGGGTTACTTAGTGTCAGTCAAATCTTGCCACTGAGTGTCGGGCATGTAGTGTATACTTAGTCTATCAGAGTTTCTTTTTTCTAAAAAGAGCTGCCTGCTGTGTCTTCGAATAGGGTTGATGTGAGGTCAATTCCTGAGCTGATAACGCAAAACTAAAAAGCTAAAAAGCTATGTAGACCTGAATGTAAGAGCAGAATTGGGTGGCAATTGTAAGTTCTAATTCTAAAGTTTGATTATTGCAGCTTTAATAATGTCTTTAATGGGTTGACAAACAAAAAGAGTTGAAGTAATCAAGTATTAATAGGCCAAAGCTCTACATTTGCTAAAAGTACGTTGTTTACCTGAGCGTCGAGTATCAGTGCCACTTCACTCACATTTTGTCAAATGCTGTAATCTGCCTGCTGGTATAACAACAGACACAAGACTCATTCTCAGTAAAATGAGACGCATCAGAATGTCTGCATATCTCCCAGAGCTCCTACACAAACACACACTTAGAGCAAGCGGCGTGTATTAGCTATAATTTAATCAGGCTGGAACAGCGTCTGGGCTGCGGGTGGTTCTGATAACAACGACGTGGACGGCTCCTCGGAGAGCTCGTCATGTGGATTCAGGAGGTCTCCCGGCAGGCGCCTCTTTTGTTGGTGGGGAATGAGGGCTGATAAGCAGGGCACCAAAAATCACCCATGGAGAATGAGGGGTGGGGGGACGGCGGCGGAGCAAGACAAAGGCTGTTAAATTTAACTGCCGAGGGCGTAAAGCCACACTCCAACTCTGATTGATTTCCTCCCCAAAGTCGATGATGTTCAACCGGTTAAGGCTTGTAAAGAGACTGCCTCTGTCTTTCACTCAGTTTCTTTATCACTCTGTCTTTGTGTTTGAGTCCTCATCTGCAGTCCAACACACACACCGCCACTGCTCTGAGCAGTACGAGTGTAGAACTGTGGCTCAACTGGGCCGTAACTCTGACCATTAACTTGTGTCTTGTTGAAATTACATTTACAAGAGCTCTTAAAATGCATCTTGGAGATACTGAACACTGAAATTCAGTTTTGCTCTCACTTGCTAAACGGAGGTCAGAACACACACTGCTGCCTCTTTTAATATCTGCATGGAGGCAGACATAGAAGAAGACTTATTCATAGAGAGCTTTCTTGGATACTGCACATACATTAACCTCCTTCCAGCCTGCAGATTTTAATATGAGCATTATGCAAGAGATGAAGTTTTTGCTTGGGTTTGTGCACTTTATTTCAGCTTCCCAGATGTTTGTGCAACATTTTGCTCACTTTTATTTATACTTGTATAAATGCATATTGTAATTATTATTTCCTGACTGTTTCTGTATGAATTGATGTTTAGTTTTGTGATATTTTGTTTGTGGAGTTTGTAGAACTACGATTGAATTGATATTTGAATGACTTAATTACGTGTAGGCTCTAAGGGTGTAACGTAACACAAACATCACGGTTCAGTTCATTGCCCAGTTTAGGAGTCATGGTTCAGTGAGAGTCAGGTACAGTGGGGAAAAAACCCAAATACACATGTTTGTTTTTAATGATTTTGAACAGACAAAGTGCAAGAGCAGCAGTCAGTCAGTCCATCACTTCAAACTAGGAAAGCCATTTCTTTTTATTGGCTTTTTAGGGGGATGCAAGGGGGTTTGTGAGAGGAATCAAACAACCTGGGATGTTGTGGTAACTGTACATATCTGTATGTACAGTATATATCTTAGCTACTTAGCCAACGGGGTGGCCCCATAAAACTATTTCTTTAGATTATTTTTTGGGTGTTCTTACCTTATTGATAGGACAGCTATAGATAAACAGGTGAGCTAGAGGTTGCCCTGGAAAGCCATTTCTGTACGGAACATGACATTGTGGATGAGGGAATGATCATTTTCAAAGAGATCTCTCCCAAACTGTCACCTCAAAGTTGGATGCAAACTATCTTAAATATCATTGTTTGTCGTCACACAAGATTTTTCTTAGTAGGAATCAAAAACTTCTAACAAGGACGAACAGCTACAGTATTTAAAAGTATCTGGACAGTAGTGTTCACCACATAGCGTACTTGTGTTGGACCTAATTCTTGATATTCACATGTTTTATAAAGCACAATTAAAACCTTGCCTTGCTTGCTGTTCTAACATCAGTATCTAGACAGACACTTTTGGACTGAAGCTGGAGCTCTGCTTCTACAGGATGCACCTAGGCGAACATGCATGGGGTCACTTGAAGATGTTTCTTTTGTACTTGTATAAACAGCTACTTTTATTTGGTCTCTGCTTTGGTGGTGGATCAGCCAATCAGCTTTCTTGACGCACAGGTTCACATCAGTCATGGAAAAGTAAAGATGCCACAGTATAAAAATACTCTGTTACAAGTGAAAGTCCTGTATTCAAAATCGTACTTATTTAAAAGTATAAAAGTATTAGCATCAAAATACACTTAAAGCAAAAATAAGAGTACTCATTATGCAGAATGGCCCTTTCCAGAATCATATCTGTGATATTACTGGATTCAAATTGGTGATGCATGCTCATGTGCCTGCTGGGTAGTTTAATCTTAGTGTGTCATAATTTGTAGTTGATTTATCTTTTGAATTATTAATCTGAATCTGCAAAGTAACTAAAACTTTCAAATAAATGTAGTGGAGTAGAAAGTACAATATTGGCTTCCAAAATGTAGAAGTATAAAGTAGCCTGAAATGAAGATACTAAAGTTCGTACAAGTTCCTCAAAACTGTACTTAGCCCACAGAACATTACACCACTGGTCTGCATAACACATTGTTGAGATTTGGAAGTTGTGTGTGTTGGCACTGCGAGCCCCTGTCATCTATTACCCATAATTCCCTTCTTTGCGTAGGCTCTCAGAGACGTGTGTCACAGAAAAGCATAATTCCAGTTTAATATGTTACTACCCAAACTGCAATTTCCTTACTATTGGACTCACATGCAGAAGTTATTTATCTGTTTGTGCAGCTCATCTGTATGTAGTCTAAAAATGTTTGTCCAGATATGTCTCAGTCCACCTCAGTATGTGATCTCAATGCATCTTTGGTGCATATCTTCCTGGAATTTCTGCCTTTTGTGAATAAAATCCCATTACAGTCTAACTTTCAAAGATCCTGTTACAGGAAAAGTTCACCCCAAAATCAAAAGTACATATTTTTCATCTCACCTGTCGTGCTATTTATCCATCTAATTTGTTTCTTTCCAAGTTGAGTTGGTGCATCTCCTATTAGCTCACCTAGCAACACTGAGCTAGCTAATGTTACAGCTCAGCTGAGGAGGATGCCATTAATGTTTACATCTCACGCTGTCATGAGTGGATTCATGTCTTTGCGGTGATTCGGTTGGCGGGTGTAGTTTGGAAGAAAGAAAATAGTTCCTATGTGAAACTGCTCACAACAAGGTCTGTGGATTATCGTAAGTAACCAGATCATGATTTCTGGAGAGACACATTGCTGTTGAGTTTTTCAAGTGTATTTTTTGGGCGCTTTGAGCACCACAAGCCGAGTGCCATCTAGTTCTATTATATTTTAGAGAAGGCAGACATCTTGGCTGATATCCCCAACACTCAGCAACTCACACCAAAACAATCTAGATTGATAAATAGCACTACAGGTGAGAGGAAAAATATGTATTTGTGATTCTGGGGTGAACTGTCCGTTCCAATTTCTGGTGTAAAGTCGGTCCACTTGTTACTGGCCTGACTGCTGTTGTCCTGTGGGTGGCCTGAAAAGCAAGCCGAGCCACATCTCTGTAAATATAACTCAGTCTGACCACCTGGATTAGATTTCAAATGTTTTTATTTTCACCGGACCTCAGGTGACAAGATGTCACAACAAGTTTCACACTGTCTTCCCCTACCACATGCTGTCATGAAAACACAGTAAACAACTTCCTGTTACTGGCTCGATGTGGCTCCCAGAGATGTTGGACAGAGAATGTACTGTGGTCACTTTGTGCATGGTAGCATCTTTACTGTGACAACCACAGCGTGCAGATGATTATTTTGTCTAAATGCACCAGTCTGAATGTAATCTGTTATGAGTTATGGCAAGGATATCTGACATTAAAAGGTCTGAAATGTTACAGTGTGTTAAAGTCATCCTTACTGTTTGTGTTCTCTGGTTATAAACTGAGTGTGTCTGTCTGTGCAGGGAGAATGAGGTCCTGAAGGTCCAGTTGAAGAAGTATGTGGGGGCGGTGCAGATGCTGAAGAGAGAGGGGAGCCAGGGCAATGATGGTAAACCACACACACACATACACACACACGCACACACACTCTGCATCATTATGACCTGAAATTAGATTTCATATCTGTGTCCCAGTCCATCTATTTTGCTCTCAAACAGAAATGCTTATAGATGAGAAATAAGGTCATCAGTTTCCTCCACATCCCAGATCAGTTCAGATGCATTTCTCAGGGGCTCCGATGACTAACCTACCTTTTCACGGTGCGAACCCTTCTCTCACCCTGACTTATCCTTCCTTTTAGTTTTTGCGTCGATTTGATAACTTTGACTTTGTTTTCGTGTTGCCAGGGGGATGTAAGCGGTCGCTCTGTGTAAAGACTGGCGAGATAAGCCCCAGCTGTATCAAAGGCAAATAAAATGAACATGGCAGATTATGGAGGGCCACATAATGGCTAATTGCATTTTGGGGGATAGAAAGGAGAGCGGTTATCTGTGACGCCCTGGAGGGTTTATGTGTTTGTGAGTTTTATTGTATGTTCTTTGTGAGACAGAGGTAAAGGGATACGTGGAACTTTGTAATATCAAGTTAATCATGTTTTATTTTCTTAAGAGGTCATAAGAACAAATAGCTATTTGGTGCTAAAAGCCTTTTTAATAACACAAGATAAATTCAGGGTAGAATTATTTATTTATTTAGGCGAAAGAATACATAGGAAGGAAAAATTCAGTTTTTGTCAGGATGCGATAAAAACACTGCAACACTGATGCATCAAACAGTGCAGGAAGCAAGCTATGGCGAGTATGGTAGGTCAAAATTGATACTGACATTGGGTGTGTACAGTTATGTAAGGTCAGGTGATATAGATAAAATCCTTTTGCACATAATGTGTACGTTCATGTCTTGATATCATGATTAAGATAGAGATATCTAGGCATAAATGACATGGCAAAAACTTTATGTCATCATAAATGAAAATGAAAATAAAATCAGTCACTCACTACATATGAGGGCTGGGTATCATTCAAAAAATTTACAATACCAGTATCCATACGGTGATACTAATACCCATTAAGTACTCCTTTAATACGTTTTTTTTTTCGACTTTATATGATACCCAATATGTGAATTGAAGCATTCAGTTGTGTAAAATGCCACCAGACACCACAGGCGTAAAGTAAAGCCATACTTTCAAACATTTTGATTTGCTCTCTGCAGGCTGAGCTGCCAACTCCGTAAATACACAACACTCAACTGTATGGCTTGTAGCTGCTGTGGCAGTAGGCCAATCACACGTCACATTCAAATGAGGAATGCTTGCAGTGATTGGCTGCCAGCAACACCGTACAAGGTGTACAGGGTGTATCCTGCCTCTCGCCCAATGTCAGCTGGGATAGGCCCCAGCCCCGCGACCCTCAAGAGGATAAGCAGTTACAGAAAATGAATGATGAGTGTTTCAGCTGACACCTTAAAGTTATCGAGTATTGATACCCAGCCCTGCTACTCACTGAAAAAGTAATAACATTACTTACTTTTTGTTATATTTAATAGTAGAAAAGTAGTATAGTATTCTAGTAGTAGTACTATACGTATGACACACTCTACAACTGAACAGAACCAGGTGATTCCTGATTGAAGGTTTACCAGCTGAATATAGGCAAAGCTATTGCGCCAGTTACTAGCTGGCAGCTAAGATGCCATGATATTTAACAACTTTCATCTCAGAATTTAAGGAGGTGCATTTCATCAGCCTCCTCAGAGGAGAAATTGATGTCAAGCCTCCATCAATCTCCCAGTAAAATACAGTACAAGCAGTGACAAGGTGTTTCTGGGATTAGCAATTATGATGTAATTATTTGTATTTAACTTGTAGTGGTTCACAATTCAGTTCAGTTCAATTCAATTCAATTCAAGTCAAGTCAATTCAAGTCAATAGAGCTTTATTTATCCCGAAGGAAATTCTTGTGCCAGAGAATGCTTCAAATCACAGTAACACTAAGTACAAGTACTACATTTTTAACGATTGACAACTGGTACCAACCAGACACCCAGTGGACTGCCCGGGTCAGGGTCGATCACTGGGCCCAGTTCTAGAACAATAGAGTTTTCAATATCTAGAAAAATATACAAATATACAAGATAAAAGTGACACTACAAAAACAAAACAATCACATAACTGTCCAACAGTGACCGTCATATCACCCAACCATGCTGTGATGATAGTTTGGGTCATCATTTTCTCATGTCTTCCACATAAGTTTGGTTAAATGTACAGTTTTGCTCCAAGCTTGTCTGATGCTCTGACTGCTCATGTTTGTTCCTAGATGAATAAAGGTGAATGCAATGGTATTATAGATTCAGGGAATGATGGGTGAAATAACTAAAACAAGATGCAATTAGTATGAAAGTGGACTTCCCATTTAACGTGCAAATTCACTACCAACCAGTGTCCAAAAAGCTGGGTCAGTGCTTTTTTTTACCTTCTTTTAGAGTCAGTTATTGTTCTCAGGTGCGTCGTCAACCCCCACTTGTTAACCAAGTGTAGGCCTGTGCATCTTCATCATGTTTAAAACATCACAACCGCCTCACATTTCACTCCTGTGGTTCCCAGCAATTACTGTGTTCAGGCTGTCAAACACGGCCACCTGGCCCGCTGACACTGGAGAGCACGGCCAGGAGAAACACTGAAGGGAGATGATTAGAGGTAGAGATGGTGATTCCCTCACACGTGAAAAGCCATATATATAATTAGGAAATAACCAGAATGTAAAGTCTTAACAAATCTGCTCTGGTGTGGTTTGTCATCAGGACCTCGATCATGAGTTTGTAGGTCTCCTCTTGTTTGTTTTTTGCCCTTCTTGTTTTACCGCCACTCATTATCCCTCTCCCTCATGTTGACTTTTTACTCTCCCATCATTTGTACCCTTTTCCCCTCTTCCTTTTTCACCCCTCCTTCATCCCTCTTGTCTTTCCCTCTCCTTCCATCCCCTGCTCCCCTCATCCCGACAGGCGTAGTAATTCCCTCTCCACAGCGGCGTCTAAATGATTTCATCCTCCCTCGCCTCTGTCTTCTCCTGCTAATGATGTGCCTCGTTCCATCATGCTTTGATGATGACTACCACAGTCTGCTGGTGTGTGTGAGTGTGTGTGTGTGTGTGTATAGGGAGTAGAGGAGGAGGAATAATGTGTGAGCAGTTTAGGGGGAGCAAAAATCAGGGTAAAAAAAAAAAAAAAAGATGGATGAATTTATATGCAAGCGCCCCTTTTTCATGTGCTGTCAGTACGTGTTCCCCGGGATCAGTGCGATGCCTTTTTGAAACCCCTCCTGTCTAATGATAGCGCTGCAGACGTGATCTCTTGAACGCTCCTCAGGCGCTGTCAGCCCCACTGACATCCCACAAAAGACGGTTCTTCTTTCTACTGTTTCAGAAGAGTGATAATAATTGTTGCATGATGTCATCAATCTCTGTTCGTTTGGGGGATTTCCCCTCTCCTCTCGAAATTTGCATATGAGAGATTAGTATGTGTGATCTTTATATCAACGTATATTACAATACTGCAGGAACACGTACTGCATATGTCCCTATAGTAGACGACAGGGTGTACTTATACTTTACATGCCACATTAGCGTAGCTCCAATTTGTGTACCGTCAAAGTGAACATATAAGTGCTCCAGATAGGTGTGTGTACGTACATGTGTGTCTATGTGCACTAGTGTATGTCATTAAGAGAAACCATTAGCCGAACCCCAGAGGACTTGTAGTGTTACAGTGACAGTCATGTTTACTGTAAAGCAGAATTAGATGAAGAGAAATCTCCAGGGAGAGTCACAGAGCAGCCCATCTAGAATTATCACACCCACGCTAACCCAGTTTTACACAGTTCCCATGGCTCTTGAAGATTCTTGAAGATTTGCACAAACATAATAAGTCTGAACAAGTTTTTGAACGTATATCGGTGGCCTTGAAAGAGCGGCATAGAGTATGCAAGTCACCTGCACACCTGCAGTATTCACTATATCTGTACAGATGTTTGCAGGAGGTTAGAGCTTTGCAGTGCATTTGGAATTAACTCTCCTCAGTGCAATCTGACATCATTAGCGCAAGTTAGTGTGCGCTTTGGTTTTAAAGCTTTTGTCATGTGACACAATCAACAACAGTGAAATACAATCTTTCAACAGATGCTGTGTGTTTGCAGCCAGTTTCATCATGTTGCCCTGGCTCATGCATCTTTCCCTGTCTGGGACCCAATCCAAGACGGACCTGTTGAAAATCTACACCGAACCTGACACGCATGAATTCACTTTCAAAAACTTAGAGTGCCAAAGTGAGTGCAGTCAGACTGACTTTGAATACACCCAAGGATAAGAAGTAGACAAGTGCAATCAAGTAAAATAAACCCAACTAGAGAAAACTCCAATGATAGTGATGACACGTGTAATCAGAGCTGAGAGCAGGTATGCTGGAATCCACTTGGGATGTGGTTCACAGTGGGATCCTACTCGACCCCATTTAAGCGGAAACAGACCGCTTTTCCCCCCCTAGTGTTTCCAAGTGGTAGTATTGCTGGTGCCGTTGTTGTTAAGACAACTGGATCGCTTTCTGTTTTCCCTCGGAGCCTAGCAGCTACAGGATTTTGTTTCAGTTGTTCCACCATCCACCATTTCTGTCACTGCATATAGTTACTGCGAAGGCACTATCCTCTTCCTGTTTTTGTTGCACAGTTGTTGATGCACTTCCTTTGCGCTGTAAATCAAGCCTACATTTTCCCACAAGATCTCACCCCGTGGCAGACAGAATTGCATACAGAAAGCAAGGCTACGTAAACTCCAGTCGTATCATTATTATAGCCATTGCATTGTGTAATCAACATTTACTTTGTGGGTTGAGTCATACTAGGAAATGATTGGACCTGTGAAGACCTCTACTCCATTTATCAGTGATTTACATCTTCAGGAGAACTTTGTGATGGACTTTTGAGCAACATCATGCCATACAATTAAAACAGGTAGGGTGGGTTGGGGAGACGAGGACTCTTGCAATTGCACTTGA